TGAAAATTATTAATTAAATGTATTTGATTGATTTAACTTTCAATTTAAAAAATATTATACTTGTTCATTTTTTATTGGTGGATAGATGAGAAAGAATTGATAGAAAAGAGAGAGAGAGAGAGTTCCCTGGAAAATAAAATCATACTCCCTCTAAAAAAAAAATATTTTCCTTGATTTGGAGGAAAATATGGTCACGTGGCCAAGTATGAAAATATTTTCCATAAAAAAAATGTCAATCAAACAACACAAAAATAAGAATTTGTATGGAAAAACACATATTTCATGAAAAATATTGGTAATCAAACGCACTCAATATTAGGGTCCGTTTGATAGGCAAATGTGGGAAGAATTCAAAATTCATATTAGTTGGAAAATAAAAATCCACTAAACTCATAGGAATTTGTTTTCCATGAAAATAAATAAAATAGTTTAAAGTGGTTGTACATTGGAATTCAAATTTTATTTTTACATTGCAATCAAACGATCAAAGCGGAATTCGTTTTCGTCGAATATGACATTTTCTACTAAATTCGTTGCAATCAAACGGGGTCTTAAAGTAGGTTTGATTACTAACATAAATTTTATATAAAAATTAAATTAATTCTAGACAATTTATGAAAATGATTAATTAATTGTTTTTGATTAATTTAATTTTCAGTGTAGAGAATATTATACTTGTCTATTTTTTTATACGGTGAGTAGATGAAAGAGGTAATAGATGAGAGAAAGAAAGATATGGTGAATTATCTGAAAAATAAAAATCACAATTCTCTAAAGAAAATGTTTTCTTTATTTTTGAGGAAAATATTGTCACATAATCAAAAGTTAAAAAATATTTTTCAAGGAAAAATGGTTAATCAAAAACTCTAAAAATAAGAATTTGGGTGGAAAATGACATTTTTCATGAAAAATAAAATCAATCAAACACTCTATTGTAATGTTTGATTGCAATTTTTTTCATTGAAAAAAAATATTTTCCAATTTTTGAAAATACGCATAAATTTTTTTTTTTAAGGAAAATATTTTCTTTTTTATGAGATATTTTTCATGCCAATCAAACACGTGTTGCTATTGTTGATAAATATATTGTCATTAAGAACATTTTTAGGCTTGATGAACTTGTTTGGAAAGTATGCCATATGAAAAAAAAAGTGAAAATTTTCAAATAAGAGAATTTTCGTATCAAGATTACTATTAGTATCGCCATTAATATTCATATTTACATTGTTGCCATCGTAGGTATAAATATTATCAAAAGAGAAACGTTTTTAGGCTTGATGAAATTTTTATGTTTATACAATCTTTTTGGCGTTAGTAAAAGTTTTAAATTTGATAAAAAGTACCATATTTATCCATGTTTATTCTAATATTAACCTTATTAAATTCATTCATTTAAAAACTATATATTCACTTTACTTTTATATATTCATCCCTCTAAATCCATCCTTATTGTAATTTTAAAAATTACTAAATTTATCTCCGAAATTGAGGTTGCCTCTCGCCCTCCATCTAACACCACCACAACTCAAACATGTAACAATGATATCAATTGAAGTCGAGCAAAAGTTGGTGCTGGTCCAAGAAACCATTGGCGGTCCAAAGGATATGCTCAATACTCATGCTAACGGAATTGCATCCAATGAAAAGTGAGAACTAAATAAAGATAAAGATGCAAACAAGAAACTTTTTGATTCTGAGGAGTTTGGAATGAGTATGATAACTCTTGGGTCCAACCAAAGAGTCCGTACCGAAGAGTCCGATTCAGATTTAATAATCATACGTACATGGAATTTGTCTTTGAAAAACTATACCAATTTTGTAATTTATCTCAAAAATTATAGAAACAAGTAGCACACGATGAATGAAAATAATTAGGAGTTTCTGTAATTGAAAAATCTGAAGAAACTCATAGCGAGAAATAGATGGTAAGTTGTAGAATTGGAAAAGAAGTTGCAAGAAGGTGAGTGTAATTTGGAGGTAAGATGGTAAGTAAAAGGGTTTGAATTGAAATTGGAAAATTAGCGTCCTTAAATTTTAAATAAATGATTAGTTGGGTCCTCAACTTTGAAAAACGGAGACGGTTCTTTAACCCTTAATCACAGTTATCAAACCCGACATGGACATTGACAAAAATAATTATAATCCTTAAATTTATTTACATGCCCTTTTATTTTTTAAAATAAAACAAAATGGTAATTGTAGATAAAAATAAAATAAAATTGTTAAACCAAGTTCGTTTCTTTAATTTTTTTTTGTGTGTACAGTACAATGACATTATAAAAATATTTTCTGAGAAATTGAAAATTATATCTATCTATTTATTTATTAATTATTATTATTATAGACACGTGAAAATATTATGTTGCCTGAACTCAAATATAATATCGGACTCACTTCGAATAAGATTAGAAAGAGTTTAATAGTAAAACACCAAATCGTAATATAAGGTTGGATCAAAACCTCATCCAACGAGCTCAACCATATGTGACAGGGACAGATTCAAGATTGGACTACAAGCCGGACTAATACGTAATTAAAATAAAAAATGAGCCAAGGACTGGACCGGGCTATAGAGTAGCCCAATCCCCCCTAAATCCGTCTCTGCATGTGCCGCCATCATTATTGCTCATCTAGAAAGGTGTCTCCCAATGATATTGT